CAGCACCCCTGGAGGATGCACTGTTCCGTGGGCCGGCAGAGTCAGTCCTGTGGGGTTGCTGCCCGGCTCCCTTCACTACCTTGTGGATGCTCACCTGGCCTTACCTGGGGACAGCGAAGTCCTCTGCTGCACCGAGGGAGGGGGGGACATGGGCGCCCTGTAGGGCCTGATGCCCACTCCATCAGCTGCAAGGGTATGGGGCAGGCCTCCAGCCCCCGGGGCTTCTCTCTCCCCTCCTGGCAGAGAGGAACAGCCTGGGCATGCCCATGACCGTCTTCCGCTGCATCTCCTCCTGTCACCCCCGCCAGTGGAAGACCCTCTTTCACCACATAATCCTGTCTGGAGGGACCGGCTCCTGCTCGGGGCTGCGGTCACGACTGCAGAGAGAAATAGCCAACCTGGTGTGCCCAGCACACGACATCCAGGTGAGGGTCCCCAGCCACCCAGGCTCATGCTCAGACATGTCTAGAGCGCCCCATTGGAGCCAGGTGTGGGACCTGGCATTGGGGGACGCATCCACAGAGCGACGCGACCCAGATCCTTGAGCTTCGGCTGCAGGGGTGGAAGCAGGAACAGGCAGACACCGAGAGGGGGAGGGGCGGTGTGGCCAAGGGGCAGGGGAGACAGGAGGCGGAGCCAGGGCAGTGCAGGCACAGCTGGTGAAGGCCCTGGAGAGGTGAGGCCGGCTTCCCGAGGAGGGCAGGGAGGAGCTGGGGCTAGTGAGCAGGGCAGAGGGCCAGGCCTTCACCCGAGAGGACCCGAGACCACCACGACCTGGCAGAGGAATACCATGCAGCCCGAGCAGAGGGCGGCCCAGGCTCCTGGGCCAGAGCGGGCTGTCCTTGGTGTGGGGTGGACTGACCTCAGGTGTGGACTATCCTCAGGTGTGGGGTGGACTGTCCTCAGTGTGGGATGGAATGTCCTTGGTGAGGGGTGGACTGTCCTCAGGTGTGGACTGTCATCAGCTGTGGGGTGGACTGACCTCAGGTGTGGACTGTCCTCAGGGGAGGGTGGACTGTCCTCAGGTGTGGACTGTCCTCAGGTGAGGGGTGGACTGTCCTCAGGTATGGACTGTCCTCAGGGAAGGGTGGACTCTCCTCAGGTGTGGACTGTCCTCAGGGGAGGGGTGGACTGTCCTCAGGTGTGGACTGTCCTCAGGGGAGGGGTGGACTGTCCTCAGGTGTGGACTGTCCTCAGGTGTGGGGTGGACTGTCCTCAGGTGTGGACTGTCCTCAGGG